TCCCTGTCTTGTGCCAGTTTTCAAAGGGAATGCTTCCAGTTTTTGCCCATTCAGTATGATATTGACTGTGGGTTTGTCATAAATAGCTCTTATTATTTTGAGATACGTCCCATCAATCCCGAATTTATTGAGAGTTTTTAGCATGAAGGGCTGTTGAATTTTGTCGAAGGCCTTTTCTGCATCTATTGAGATAATCATGTGGTTTTTGTCTTTGGTTCTGTTCATGTGATGGATTACATTTATTGATTTACGTATGTTTAACCAGTCTTGTGTCCCAGGGATGAAGCCCACTCGATCGTGGTGGATAAGCTTTTGATATGCTGCTGGATTTGGTTTGCCAGTATTTTACTGAGGATTTTTGCATCGATGTTCATCAGGGATATTGGTCTAAAATTCTCTTTTTTAGTTGTGTGTCTGCCAGGCTTTGGTATCAGGATGATGCTGGCCTCATAAAATGAGTTAGGGAGGATTTCCTCTTTTTCTATTGACTGGAATAGTTTCAGAAGGAATGATAGCAGCTCCTCTTTGTACCTCTGTTAGAATTTGACTGTGAATCCATCTGGTCCTGGACTTTTTTTTGTTGCTAGGCTCTTAATTATTGCCTGAATTCCAGAGCCTGCTATTGGTCTATTCAGGGATTCAGCTTCTTCCTGGTATAGCCTTGGGAGAGTGTATGTGTCTAGGAATTTATCCATTTCTTCTAGATTTTCTAGTTTATTTGCATAGAGATGTTTATACTATTCTCTGATGGTAGTTTGTATCTCTGTGGGATCGGTGGTGATATCCCCTTTATCGTTTTTTATTGCATCTATTTGATTCTTCTCTCTTTTCTTCGTTAGTCTCGTATGCAACTTATTTTATGTAACAATTACCACCTTAAGCTGGAACTAAAACCAGTAGGTAGAAGTTAACAGAATGTAGAGTGTTAGATTTTGGAAGAACTTTAAGATGGAAGTGAAATAGGCTACCCTGTGAGGGGTGAGCTTCTTGTCACTGAAAGTCCACAGGCAGATTTTGGTTGATGTGAGTATGGATGTGTCTGTGTGTATCAAGGAAGGTGCAAAAAAATTTTTTGTCTTAGATGGGGAGTTGGGCCACTTTATCCCTCCTGATTGATCCAGTTCTCTAATTCTTTGATAGTCTTGTTGTTGATTGTTGTTGTTTCATTTGTTTGTTCATTTTTGAGACGGGGCCTCTGCTGCTCAGGTCAGGCTAGAGTACAGTGACATGATCAAAGCTCACTGCAGCCTCGAAATGCTGGGCTCAAGTGATCCTCCTCCTTCAGCCTCCTGAGTAACTGGGACTACAGTTGTGCACCAGCATGCCCACCTAATTTTTTAATTTTTGGTAGAGATGAAGGTTTTGCTGTGTTGCCCAGGCTGGTCTTGAACTCCTGGGCTCAAGTGATCCTCCTGCCTCAGCCTCCCAAAATGGCTGGAGTTGCAGGTGTGAGCCACTGTACCCAGCTCTATGATAGTTTTTCAGCAAGAAGGTTGGAATCAAATGGGCATTAAAAAACAATGGCAAATGTTGGAACTTCTGGTAATGGATTGTGCTGAGAACTCTCCCCTAGAGTTTTAACCTCAAGAACACAGATCCTGATTTCTCTTTTTTTTTGAGACAGAGTCTTGCTTTGTTGCCAGGCTGGAGTGCAGCGGCGCCATCTTGAGTCACTGCAACCTCCGCCTCCTGGGTTCAAGTGATTCTCCTGCCTCAGCCTCCTGAGTAGCTGGGACTACAGGTGTGCACCACCACGCCCAGCTAATTTTTGTATTTTTAATAGAGACGGGGTTTCACCATGTTGGCCAGAATGGTCTCAATCTCTTGACTTTGTGATCCACCTGCCTCGACCTCCCTAAGTGCTGGGATTACAGGCATGAGCCACTGCACCCAGCCCAGATCCTGATTTCTTTTCTTTGAATTCAGTTTAATGCCTGGAAGATGACAGTATTCTTGAAAATTGACTTCCAACTTAGACTTTCAACAGAGAATAAATCAAAAAAATTTTCCCCCACAGATGAAATATGAAATCAATATGTGTGTGTGTGTGTGTATATATATATATATATTTTTTTTTTTTACAGAAGAGAATCACAGAAAATGAGAATCATCAGATGATACACAGTGAGCGTTAGTTTATCTAGTCCAGTGTATTAGAAACAATGGCTTCTGTCCTGTTTAGGATTTTAGTGACAGTGGTTACATCAAAGGAAACTTAATTTCTTGAGACATGAAGGCTCATAAAAATTCTTTATACTTGAATATTTGCTACAAGTAGAATAATTTTAGCTTTCTATTAAAACCACTATAGGTATATTTGTTAGTTCTCTGCTTACAGCCCTAGCTTGGAAACTAGTAGAGGATGGATGTTAAGGCTTACTAGTAGAAGAAAATGTTGGAGTAAAAATATATGTGAGTGGGAGGAGCTATTGACCCATAGAAGTGTTATCTTGAAAAGCTGCTGAAAGATGGGGCTTGTTCTCATCTCCTCAGTTGTTTGCCCCTACAAGTGCTGGCGTACTGCTGTATTCAATGTGTATAACTTTAAAAACCGTTTCAGTTGTCTAAAAAGCAGTTGAATCACCTTTTATTTTGAAATGGTATTGATTGCATGTTTAAATGATAATATTTTGGAGATACTGAATTAATTGTGTGTGTGTGTGTGTATGTGTTTTCTGTGGTGAAAACACTTATTTTACAATAGTAATCTTTATTTTAGGTCAACATTCAGACATACAAGAAATGTGTTGTTACAATTAAAATTTTTTTAAAAAGTAGTGGAGCATCATCTTCATCCCATTCCTCTTAAGCCCTGACTTGAATACCCAAAGAAACTTCTTGAATTGTTCTGGGCTGGGCACATACCTGTAATTCCAGCACTTTGGGAGGCCAAGGCAGGGGGATCACTTGAGGCCAGGAACTCGATACCAGCCTGGGCAACATAGCAAGACACCCGTCTCTACAAAAGTAAGAAATTAGCTGGGCACACGCATGTAGTGCTAGCTACTCAGGAGCCTGAGACAGGAGGATTGCTTGAGCTCAGGAATTCAAGGTTACTGCGAGCTATGTTTGTGCCACTGCACTCCAACCTGAACAATGCACTCCAACCTGAACAACAGAGTGAGACCCTATCTGTAAAAAATAAAAAATAGGGAAAAACTATTGAGTTATTTCATAGCTTTGTATTTTAAATTGTTTTATCTTTTAATTTTGACATAATTTTAGGCTTGCAAATAGGACAAATAATTCGTATATACCCTGTACTCACATTCTCCAAATGTTAACTTCCTACATAAACACAATAGAACGATCAAAATCAGCAAATAACATTGATATAGTACTGTTACCCAACCTATGGACCTTATTTCATTTTCACCAGTTGTGTCAATGATGTCCTTTTTCTGGTTCAGGATCAAATCCAGAATGCAGTGTTGTATTTATTGTCATGTCTCTTAAGTCTCCTTTAATCTGAAATAGTTCCTCAGTCTTTGTTGTTCATGCCCTTGATGCTTTTGAAGAACACTGTCAGTTATTTTGTAAAATATTTCTTAATTTGGGTTTGTCTGATATTTTCTCATGGTTAAATCCAGGTCATGCCTTTTTGGCAAGAGTACCACAGAAATGATTTTGTGCCCCCAGTGCATCATATCAGGAGATACTTATTGTTGACTTATTCCATTACTGGTGATAATTAATTTTGATCATTTAAGTTGGTGTCTGCAAGGTTTCTCTGCTGTAATGTTATAAGCTATGCAAATATCCTGTTTCTTTATACTTTTGCCACCTAATTTTAGCACCCATTGGTGATTCTTGCCTGAAACAGTTACTACCATAGTATTTACCAAATGGCAATTTTTTATTTTCATATAGACTTATTTCATGTGTAACAATCAGGGTCCATATAGGAAATTAAGGGATATTACTAAAATTATATTGCTGGTTTGAAATCTCATTGGTCACGCATGTTCTACTTCACTAAAGCCATTTTATATTCTTCTGTTTTTAAATCAAACATTGTTGCTCATCTCACACTATTCAGGGATCAATCTCCTTTTTTCTTCCTATTCTACCAAAAAGGAAACCATAAGAAGATTGTGACTTTAATTTCACAAGTTTGGCCATCTTGTCTCCTGGAAGTTTGGTGTCTGGCTATCTGTTGGCAGGAGAAAAATCTGTCCTGAAGGGGGATAGGTCTTTCCTGTCTGTTCCAGAATGAGCCCTGGTAATAAAATGCTCATATCCTTGCCCTAAAACCCAAACACTGGCCTTCTTACTTAAGATTGATGTCTGGGGAGGTCTTTAAGTTTCCTCATTAGAAATTTTCTGGAAATACTGACTCAGATTTTATGTCTTTTATTTTCAGCCTGCTGCAATGACTGAGGGCACTCAAGGAACTATCCGACCAGCTGCCAACTTTGATGCTATGAGAGATGCAGAAATTCTTCGTAAGGCAATGAAGGGTTTTGGTAAGGAAAACAAATTTTTGTCTTTGTTAATAAGTTAAAGTGACCAATTCTAAAGTAAAAATAAACCTTATCTCATAAACCAAGTTTATGTGTCAGCCTGGGTGCACGTACCTGAATTTAATCTGATGTCTAGTTCCTTGTAAGCATTCTCAGAGATGACCTCAGGCTGGGTGTGGTGGCTCACACCAATAGTCCCAGCACTTTAGGAGGCTGAGGTGGACGGATCACCTGTGTTCAAGACCAGCCTGGCCAACGTGGCGAAACTCCATCTGTACTAAAAATAAAAAATAAAATAGATGGGTGTGGTGGTGCATGCCTGTAATACCAGCTTCACAGGAAGCTGAGGTAGGAGAATTGCTTGAACCTGGGAGGTGGAGATTGCAGTCAGCCTAGATCGCACCATTGCACTCCAGTTGGGGTGACAAACTGTGTCTCAAAAAAAAAAAAAAAAA